CACTTCACTTCACTTCACTTCACTTCACTTCACTTCACTTCACTTCACTTCACTTCACTTCACTTCACTTCACTTCATTTTACTTCATTCAAGGTCTCTACCCCCTTGCCAATCCCCTTCTTCCGCCCCCGGAGCAGCGCACCCAGCGCGCGCCCCACGCCCTGCATATCCCCCAGCATCGTAATGTGTCCGCGCTCCGTCCGCACCATCCCGCCCTTGACGCAGGCATAGCCCTCGGGCAGCATGGACTCCTTGGCGAGCACGACGCCGTCGCCCGCCCGGAAGAGGAGGTCGTCGTACGCGTCCGTGCGGGGGATCCCGTCCCGCCCGTGGACCTGCGCCCCGTATACGGTCGGCGTGTTCTTCCCGTACATGAGCGCGAACGGGGGGTATGCGTTGTCGGACTGGTGCTCTTCGCGGTGGGCTAGCTCGGCGCGGAAGGTCCGCGTCGCGGCCAGCGTGCGGCCTAGATACTGGAGGTAGCGTTGTCGCTCGGGGTCGGATAGTTTGGGCGCTGGTGGTGGTTCACTGGACTCGTCCGACGTCGTCGTGGGCTCGGTGCCGGGGTTCAGCTGAGGCGCTATGGTTCGGTCTTTGTGCCCGCTCATTGTGTTCGTCGCCGGATCCGTGGCGCCGCCGTTCGTCGCGAACCATCTGTCTGGCTTGCTCTCGGCACGAGCGCGCGTCCGTAGTGAGTTGGGCAGCAGCGACGAGAATGATGTGCCGTTGGCGCCCGGGGCCGGTGACTTGGGCAGGGCGGGCAGCGCTGGTCGCACACAGGGACTGAGGGCCCACTTCACCCATTGTTCCGGGTCGTAAAAGTCAATGGGATACGACTCGCCCGTGTCCTTGTCGACAAAGCAGAACCCGTCCTCCGGCAAGAAGACGAAGCAGGTCCGCATGCTGAAGTTGACCTGCGCGGTCAACAACTTCTCGTTGAGCAGGATCACGTCGCCATTGCGCAACGGGCCCAGAATGTTGATGCATCGCTGTGGGACGCCGGCATAGAGGACGCCGGAGAACAGGTCTGGCCGTTGGTTGACGGCGTGGCGGGTGATCATGCCGCCCAGGCTGTGGGCAATCACCAAGGCACCTCTCGCGTCGGCCGGTGTCCCTGGCTGGTTCGAGGGGAGCGTCTCCAGAAAGTCGAGCAGTCGCCTCGACAGCTTGTGCGGACTGAGCCGCCAGTCGTAGCCGTAGTCCCATACCCTCAGCGTGCCGTTCTTGGCATTCTCGCAGTGGCGTAGCTTTTTGAACAGCTTCCGCGAAATATCAATGGGCCCAATGTGCGACAGCATCCCGGACGGCTTGATCGTCTCCTCCATGCAATCCTCGTCCGAGTCCCGGAGCCCGACCTCGAGGTTGACCTTGCGCATGTTGAAGCCCAGCTTGACCGGCGCCCAGCACTGCTGGTAGGGGGGCTCTGCCGACCGCAGCACCGAGCCCCGAAATCCGCCCATGACCACCACGTCCCCCGTCAGCTCCTCCAGGACCAGGTCCAGCTCCGTCTGACCTTCCTTCGGCGTCGCGGACGCGGCGGGGGCCGGCCCAAACGAGTCGCGCTCCACGGGCGTGGTCTCCGACAAGGTGTGGTTCCCGCCCAGACCGTCGGACAGCGAGTTCATGGACATGAAGGACGGCGTGTGGAGCCTGGGTAAGCTCGGCATCCTAAAGTTGGGGACATCCGGGAGGCTTTCCCGGATGGCCTTGAAGCGCATGTTGACCATCTCCCGCACATCCTGAAATTGCTCGTCGTCTCCTAGTGAAGAGGCACGCGAGAGGCTGTGGTACAGGATGCTCTCGTCCGACGTGACGCGGCGCAGGGTTCCAGGTCGAGGGGCATTCGCAAAGGAGGACAAGGTGGATGATCCCGTGGTCAGCGGGCTGGAACCTGTGCGCCTTCGCATGGGCCGTGGTGTGCCGGCTGTCGGTGAACTGCCCGCGGATGATTTTGGCTTGTCGCCATGATTGGAGGAAAAGAAGGACGTGGAGAAGGCAGGGCGCAGATGTGAAGGCGTGCTGAACGACGGCAGCGCCTTTTGCAGCTTCCTCAGTGCGTCCTGACCGGCGGAGCGCGACCGTGATCGGGTGCCGGAGGGACCAAAAGCCGACTCAAAGACACTACGCGATGGACGAGGCTGTGTATGCTGCTGTCCCGGGGATCTGGATGACGGCTTCTCCACCATGAGGCTCCTCGGACTCGTGTGCCACGGCGATGGCAGGGGAGCGCGTGAAGGCGGACTGCGGGAGGGCACCTGGCCAAGGTGCATAGACGCTCTGGAGTGACGATTGGGGGGACCCGGGGACAGGTCGCCACGCGCGTCGTCTTCCTCTCCGTCGTCCTCGGGCAAGGAGCCGCCAAAGGGGCCCTTCTTCTCCAGCGCCGCGGCCTTTTCTGTGGCGGGCGTGTGTGGCGAGGCCATGTGGCTAGCTGTCGCGCTCATAGCGGGCTGCAGCACTGCCAGGGCGTCCTCCTGGTCCTCGACGCCATCCTCGGCCTGGTTGGGCGAGCTGTCGCCCTCATCGTCGTCGGGGATGCCGTCCGGATGCCTTTGCTGTGTGGGAGGGTTTGGCTGGGCTGGCTGGGCTGGCTGGCCGCCAGGAACAATGCCCGCGGCCATTGCTGCTAGTGGTGGTTGAAGTTGTCTGGACCACTGCCGAGACTAGACGTGGCTGTGAATCGTACTTGTTTTGCTTGACATGTGAATGATCGCAGGGCATTGCCTCCTGCGCCTGGGTGAATGCGTGAGAGAAACCCCGAAGCCTAAGTGAGTGGCGACACGAGAAGACCGCCCGGATGGGTTCGTAGTTCCCTCCAGCGTGGTATGTCTCGAGGGGTGTCCTTTTCTCGGTTGATTGGAAAACGAAAGACGTAGAGATTACGGTTGGCAATACATCCAAGTACGTAGCTGGACGTGACGGGTCCATAGTATGGACATGGACGGGACTGGAGCACGTTTGTAGTCCGCTGCTACCCCCACTGCCCACTGCAGCAGTTGTTCAGGGTTCCGTGATATCATGGCATCCATTGGTTGGCTCCAGCCGAGTCGGGCGAAGAAATGGGGCACAGGTGGACTGGATGGATGATGGACGATGGTCCGATGGATGACATTGTGGTGAATGGGCAATCGCGGTGGTTTGTGGTGCCGTACGTTGCGGTACGCATGTGGGTGAGATTTGGGGCTGGTCCGGCGCTGCCGGTGGCATGCGGGCCTATGAACTGTGGCAACAGTGCAGGGATATAATCTAGGTACCTAGCAGTCCACCTAGAAGAGGGTGAGGGGAAGGTAACGCTAGGACCCGCACCATCTCCGTTTTCTTATTCAACAGTCTCTAACCACATCAAATATCGCCCTCAGAACCAGCTACCTTACCAATAACAGCTATTGCCAAAGAAAACTAGGCTCTACTTTTGTACATGTAAGCTAACATTTTGGGATCCCTGGGACTGTAGTTGGCCTGTGCGGCACAGGTGTTTGTCCAGGACTCCAGGACTCCAGTCTGTATCCGAATTCCAGATTGTCGGCGACTAGCTTCTTGACGTAATAGTACGTGAGGTCATTCATGCTGCTCCTGACGCTACGTATGCAGCAAGTAAGTGAGTGATAATTCAATCAACGAACGGCGGGCTGTGTAGCGCTGCAGCGTGCATTCGGCCGTTGCCAGCTTGGGAAGGATTCTGGAAGGCCACCACAGTGCATGGCGATCACTCGAATGAATGAATGATCGACGCGCTGTTGGTTGCGAGGTTCAGACCCGTCACACCGCCAAGCTCGCGACAGGGACTCGAGAGCACAGACAGCAGGGCGGTCGATTGCTGGGAAGCGAGATACGAGGAGTCCGAACTGCGTGCGAGATGTACGCGGTCGGTGATGAAGGGAGCAAGGATCACTCACGATGAGGCTCTGCGGCCTCTGCCTACCCGGTACAGTCAGTCCACGGCACCAGATACCCCCGCGATTTGCCATTCAAACCCCCCCC